CTATTCAAATTATTTTTTATCATTTTATAGTTATGCTTAGCGATATTAAACTCGCGTCTTTTCTTGGCACATTCATGTGAAAACCATTGTTTAGTGTTTTTGTCATTATTACAAGGCGTGTATACATTCTTTTTAACACCAAAAACGGATTTACAAGTATCAGAGAAAATATTTCTTATTTCATGTACAACATCATCCATCTCAGATTGGTTTGATATATCATTTATCGTTTGCAGTAAAACTGCCAGTCTAACAGTTTCATTTCCTTCAATATGGTTTGAAAATTCTTGCCTTTTGTTTGGCTTCCATTTTACAAAATCGTTGCATTCCATGGTCACTTTAGGGGGATATTTAGGGGAGTAGCTATCATTACAAGTGCAATTAAATTCTAAGCGACAATGTACATCAGAGAGCAGTGGATCAAATTCTTTCACTTCAAAATCTTCAATAATATTAAATAATTCTGATGAGACAATCAAATAATCTACTAAACTGACATCGTTACATGTTTTTTTACCAATATGACGATCTTTTCCAACTCTTCCATTAGCAATGTATAAATTAGTTCTTTTACATAGATCTAGAAGTTGATACCCGAAGTTATATATCTCCGATACGTACCTGTATAGATCGATCCTGTAGAAAATCTTTTATAAAACCGTACATATTTCCATGTATGCCCATATTTTTCATTTTATAATAGTAGTCCATCTTTCCACATCATGTCAAATGCTTGTTCGAAGTCTATAAAAACGGCAAGTACACTTTCTTTGTTGAGATTGGATTTCTTAATTTCATTCTCTAACTTAATAATCTGATCAATAGTAGATCTGTTTTTCCTAAAACCACATTGATTACTTGTTAGTAAGTTATTTGTTTCTAAAAACCATTTTAGCCTGTTATTGACCATTTTCTCCATAAGTTTGCACATTGTTGTTAACGACACCTTCCTGTCCTAGGACTTTTATAACATCGTCCTTTTTGCTTCTCATCGGCACATGTGATGAATAGGCCACCATTTCCCATTCCTCTGATGTTTTTTCTGGGATACACAGCTGCTCCTAAATCCAACTTTTGAATTAGTATAGGGTCCTTATTCACAAGTCGTACTGTGTTTGATCTGATGGTTAGGACATGGTTATTGATATTTTTACTTACAGTTTCACATAAGGATGAGTCCTGCCTGGCTCTCTTGTTCTCTTGCCTGGGTGTGTCAGAGTATCCACAAGTTACAGGCGCGGATTTAGGGGGGGGGGGGGGGGGGGGGGAAA